AAAGTTTAAAACAAGAGTGGCCGACCCAAAAGTTTAAATGAAAAAAATGTGTATTTTTGATGGCACATGTGTGCTCTGTGTAGAAATAAACATCGATCTTATTTTTATCGCATTGGCATGCAGAACATTTTTCATACTTGAGAAAAAATAAAAAAAAAAGGACCCACCCAATCAAAACATGGATTTTTATGGATTTCTTACAAATAATTACAGCAACAACTTAATTTAGCTATAATTTATTATATTCTATATTGACTACATATTATAGGGCATAGGCTATCATATAAGTAGGGTATATTATTAATATAATACACAAAACTAAAAGCATTTCTGATCTCTGAACTACTCAATCTCAATCAACATTCAAAATATTTAGTTGCTCACCCACCCACTCATTTTAGTCATGAGACAATTACCACAAATAAACATACTTCGACATGCCACTGCTTTATTGTATATTCGCCCGACTATACATCATGAATAATTTGTGTCGACAACAATCTTATTTTGAAAAATGATGATAATCGTACTATAGTCCATACGGGTAATCATATCGCTATTTCTTGACCGTCAATGCTATTAACACGTCATGCTCGCACGAAATTTGAATTGGTTTTTAATATAATATTTAACTATATAAAACCACCTATATAAACATTTGATATTATTTTCTCAATATTTTAACTTTACAACTAACAGAACAAATTTCCATTTCCTGATTAACTATACATATATTATATTATCGAAATCTAAATCTAAATATTTATATTTGATTATATTTCACATTTTTTTAGGTATCTATCCTTTTTTACGAATTAAAATAATGACTTCAAAAAAAACCTTCAGGTGCCTGGTTTGAGAAACAAAGAAATCTGAAAGAATCCAGTATCTTATCAAATCTTATCCGCATTGTTAGGCTAATGACTTTTGAAATCTAGTTCAAAAGAAAATCTAATAGTTTCTTAACAAACTGATATTATATTATAATTTTCGATAAAATTATTTATGTAGGTATGTTTTCTATTAGAAAAATCGCTCCAATAAAGTAACGACAAGAGATCATAACTGTTGTACTTTTAATATAGTTGGTGAATAAGAAAAACCGAAAAAAAAAAAAAACGTAGAAAGAACGTTCAATTTTCAAAAATGTCTGTAAAGTCTCACTAGGAAAATGTAAATGTTAAATCTGTTCTGTTAAGTCTGATTGTAAATGGCTGTCGCACCGGCAATCCAATTTCTGCGGATACAATACGCACTACCCCACAAATTGATCCAGTTCATAACATAAGTCTAACGAGTACGACTAGTATGAGCGTACGATGTGGAAATATCAATGCTTACGTAACAAAAAAATATGAGAGATGATTGATTTATAATTGCCAGTACAGAATGTAATCAAATTATTATTATTACCAGGTAATAAAAATAACGATAATAATAATATTATCTATTTTATAGATTAATTGGGTTTTGGGAAGTCCAAATGGAATTATATACGTACAAACGTTCACCGGATTATTATCGGTGGTGCAGAATTAAAACTTTTCATTATAAACTTATAACTAAACATATATTTAGCTACGAAATATCATGGTCAAACTGCATATTTATCAAATAAATTTCAAAATGAAGTCATGCATTTGCTAGGTTCAAAAGTAAAAAAAGAAATCTTTAATAAAATAAAAAAAATAAAAATATTTTTCTACAATTTTTGATTCTATTCCGGACGACACGCATAAATATCAGCTCTGTTAAAATATTATATCAGTTACTGTAGAATTTGGAGAACAATCCTGTAATGTTATGCTCACACAACATAATATTATAACTGTATCATTATTTATTATTTATATCATAACAAAAATGTTACTAAAAGATTCAAATATGGCCGATTACTTGGTATTTTACAAAAGGAAAATAATTTAATAAATATAACGGATCGTTTGCTATTCGAGAGGGATACAAGCTTATCAACAAACAAAATAATTTAAAATGTGTCAAATATAATAGAACTCCATGCCATCTACTGCGGCCCTTTAGGACACTGCCGCCTCAGTCATACTATTGTATATTACCTTATTCTCGCAATTCGCGTATTAATTATTTTATATCGACATCGACGTGAATGCCATCTATTCCGTTTTTTTAAGCACACTAATTCCAATGGTTTTCTTTCATTTGAAAAGAACCCATATCCGATCCATTATCTTCATTAAGAACATTTAAATATAAGTCAAATAAAATTAAGCAATAGGTACACAACATCAATCGGCCCTTTAATGATACAGCCGTGTCGTCATCATTCTCTTGCACTATAACCATTATAATTATTTCTATACAAATTTAAAATCAACACATAACACTATTTTTTTTTTTTATGGTTGATCTTTTTATGGCTTGTTTAAACATATAAAATTGAATGGTTTTTCAATTGAATATGAAGCGTCTAGACTCCTCGAGAAATCCCAAGACGACCACTCTGTCTAGAATCCTGCACACAGCAACAACTACGTTCCACCAACTTCTTTCGAGGATCTCTTTCGAATAGCTAGCTCCGATTTTTAGCAGCTATAATCACTCGTGTTCGATTTATTTATTAATTTACTTTATAATTCAACCTTTTATTTTCCTAATTTAAAGATTAGCATTTTTAATCTGAGTGCACACAGGTGCTAAGTGTTAATTAATTAAATTGGTTTATCTTAATTAAATTTTGATTGCCGTCCAACAACTCTAGGATCACGTGAGGATATCCATAAGTATACAACCTAACGTTCCAACACCGTGGGCAGGTAAAATAATTATATCTTTCTTTATTTATTGATCTCGTCACCATTCTCGGATTCATGACTCCGAATCCCTTTCAAACATCGGAAGGAAGGTAGTAATATAATTAGTAGGCTGAACTTTTATTATGATTAAAGATAAATCATTATTTGCAGTACCAAAAACTAGATCAATTATTTTATATTATATAGGTACATTTTTATATCTACTCCTCTATATTTTATTCTTTGTAGGTACTTCTACGTAATATCCTATCATCTTAAATATGTTTGTCTTCTATTACTATACTTAGTGTCCTTAGTCTACTACTATCTCACCCCTACCATAAATTTGTATTTCCTCTCCTAACACGTTAATACTCTTTTTTTTCCTATTTTTTGTATTACTACAAAGTGGAGCCCAACTTTCAAGCCCAGTTTTACTTGCTGAGAATTGTGACGAATTATTGAATATAACAGTTAAGATACTTTATTATTTACGTAAGCATCTATCATTTATAATAATACTTATACAATAAGAATTATACAAATTAAAAAAAATAAATAAATAATAATAGTAATAATAATAACTAAACAGATTAAAACAGTTAGTTAAAGATATCGAACTTTTCATATATAAATGTTCATATTTATTACTTAAAAAAAAAAAAAAGAGAACACAGAGAATAAGTAGAAAATCGAAGGGGTGGATATTAGTATACGTCATACATCTATAGAAAAATATATTTCTATTTATCTTTTAATTTAGATGATAATTGTAGAATATCGAAAATGTATTACCATTTAAAGAATCAAATAAAGGAATTATTAATAAAGAAATATTAATTAAATCTAACCCTAAGTTCTAAATTAATATAATTATAATTAGACTAAAAAGGCAGAAAAAATATAAGAAAAGAAGCAATATTTAAAAAAAGTATATAAATAAATAAATAACAATATTAATATTATATATAAAACCCGAAGAGACAATTAAGTCCAAAGAGGTAAATTATTGTATTTATTATTTTAATTAATTATCAAAAAATATAAAACCCTAAAGAGACAATTAAGTCCGAAGAGATAAATAATTATTGTTATAAAAAAATTATATATAAGCACAGAAAATTATATATTATTTGCATTTAATTATAAAGAATATAAAAAACCTAAGAGACAATTTAAGCCGTAAAGGTAAACTATTATTATTATTCAATCATTAAAATAGAAATATTAAATAAAACTAAAAAAAAAAAAATAGAAAATATTTAACAAGATACAGATTATTCGTGTAGTTATAGTTATATTTAAAGAAAATAATAATAATAATCAATAGGTAGTCACTAAGTTGAAACATAAATACAATAAATATTAACCAAAAAAAAACACTCTTTAAAAATGTGGATTAATATAACTTTTTTTCTCATCGCTCATAATTCGAATAAATAAAATATTTAGGTGCACATATAAATAGGTAACAGAAACAATACGTACTAAAATAACAAAAATCCTCACATGTCTGAATTGGAACAAGATAATCAGGACAATAAAAAACTTCCTATTATAGATTTTACAGCAATATCCACAACTTGGGTTCATAAATTAACCAAAGACAAATTAATTATCGAATTATCTCGCCGAAATTTAATAACAACAGGGCTGGTAGCCGATTTTAAAGCGAGGCTACTTAGATATTTGAGAGGAGAAAATAATCCAGAAGAGTTTAATAGTGAAAAACCTAAAAATAAATGTCTTATTGCACCATAATCTTTAAACAAAATAGACAAAGTCAAAATAAATCCCTCAGTGAGTGATAATAAAAGACCATATTTCAAACCAGGTAATTTCTCGGGGGCCATATCAAAAAATATAGATACCTTTTAAAAAAAATAAAATAGGGCAGACTTTATAAATGGTTGGTCTGAAACAGATAAAACTCAATTTATTTCTGTCTTCTTGGAGAGCCCCGCTCTAAAATTTTACGATAATCTACAATACACTTCAGAAAAATTAGAATAGGAAGAAATAGAAAAAAAAATACGTTTAGAAATTGAACTCATAGCACAAACTGATATGGTTCGTATGATTTTGGAAAAAAGAAAACAATTATCAAACGAACAAACGGTCGCGTATATTAATGATGCCGAATTCCTATGATAATCAAATGTCCCAGGAGGAAATGATTAGAAATATTATGAAGGGATTATACCATCCATAATCCGATATATATGTATAATGGGCAACGAAACACTGGCTGAACTAAAAAAGAACGTTAGGAAATATGAAATTATTGAAATTATGATAACTCCTAAAACCCCTTTTGATATTGAGACGGAGATTATACAGTCTAAAATACAACAAATAAATAAAGATAACAATTCAAAGAAACCCGAAATTGATAGATTACGTGAAGAAGTAGAGAATTCAAAATTATTAATAAACTCCGAAAGTCCTAAACAAAATTATGTAGACTATCAATACAATACTTCTACTCCGCGTATATATTATGTATAACAAAATAATAAAGTAAAAAAAAAATTATTAAAACGGTTAATACCCCATTCGTAAATAAATGAAGTAAATAAATATATACATTTTTATTTATTATCTTCACTAATATGTATAGGTACGTTAAATGCACTTCATAGTATTCCTCCCCCACTGCTGATTTTCGGATTAAGTATATATTGGCGGGATTTAGTGATAAGAGAATGGTTTCAGCGCCAAATAATTTAAATTGGCACCCCACATAAGTCCTCTTCAAAATTTGATACCATAAAATCCCATCCAAGGGACGTAGTCTGGAATTCGTCCGATCACAACTTAACTTTGGAAACGGTATATAGGTCTCTTCAAGACCACTCTCACCAAATAAGTGTCAATCGGAAGGAATGAAAAAAGGAATGATTCTCCAACATGATCGGCGAGGCATTTACATATACATCAAGTATATCCCCTCAGGATTTGTTGATATAAAAGAGTACTTGAAACGCGAAATTAAACTGGGACCCCCGTACAAGTTCCTTCTTTAAAGAGTATATTAGGATATATTATATCCTTACTCTATGAACAGAGTACACGCGAATGGTTTGATCAGAAACAATCGTTTAGTCGTACGCCGTCGTCATACAATCCTGTACGCCACCGCCGCCGTGTATACAGCCAGTCATAATATCTACATACCTACCGCCAAATAAATCATCATAATAAATAATACACAGGCATAATATATTGTTTCAATTATGGGCGTACGTAGGATCTTTTTCAGGTTATACAGGATACCACTAGCGCATCTAAATGTTATTTTAACCTCGTCAAATTCTGATAAAAAAATGTACACAAATATTGAAATGTCTTACCAACTTTTTAATTAAAAATGTAATTTTTACTTAAAATTCAAATTGAATTACAACATAAAACGTACATATTTTGCAAATTTTTGATTTAACTTATAATATAGTTTTTGAAAGCCTCGGGGACGTAGCCCCCTAATGCCCCCTTAATCTTGGCCTAGTATTCAAGGTATGCAGCTGCTTTCCCTACATACCACTTGCCTACGGTTTCGATCAAACTAATGGAAACATAGACAAATTATATTTACTTAAAACGTAAGTCGTAACATTTATTCAAACTATAACGGAACATTTGTGTGAGCAAATCCATGTACGTGGTAAGGCCGTTAAAACAAAATGTTATCGATATTTTGTTCCCTACGTACGTCGTATAACATGCCGTGTATCGGCGGCAATGAGATTGATTGTCGGGCGAGTGGATTATAGACGTATAATATAATAGAATAGGAATGATAGGTGTTTTACGAATAATACATTAAAGCTATACGACAGGTATATAATCTACATTGATTAATACTCTAAAAACAAGATTGATTTTATAAAGATTTTTTGGTTAAGCCATATAAATTAACTTAGCAACGAAAGCTAAAAGGTATTTATTGTACAAATAATCGTATAGGTGTGCATATTTTACTTGATAAAAAAATATAGTAAAAGACTTATTAAAAATCAAGAATAATGGAAGTAATCATTACAAACTAGGATGAAAAAAAACAGTACATTTAATTTTGTAAAATTTAAAAATACTATTACTGGTGTTTAAATAAAATTAATTTTGTATAGTATGACCTGATTTTATCATCTATTTCATTAGTACTTTTGTTTAGAATACCTTTTTGTAAATAGCATATATAAAATATTATACTTGTGTATACCTAAATTTTATATTTATTAAATAACAAAAAATATTTTTCAGTATTGAATAACAATGTACTTATGTAATTTTAGTTCCAAATTTCCAGTTCATTGGGAACTACAACCAGTAACATAACACTTTTCTACCATCATATGATGTTAAAATGAAAAAATGTTATTTCCAACTTATATTAAATTTAAAAAAAAATGACAACAAACACGTTACACGGATAGATGAATAAGTTACATCAAATACTGTATGATAATTTAAAGCATTTTGTTAGTTTGTTACAATTTTCGCTTAAACGCAAATATACGATTCTTCCACGTCGAATTATATTCTTTATTATTACTAGAGGTGGGTAGTTCATGAGTGAGTTGACTCTTTTGGGTGAATCGAATGAATTGATTCAGTGTGGTATAGTTCAGTGACTCAGTGACTCGATGACTCAGTGCTACCACTGGTTCTAAACAATTATTCACGAATCACGGATGTGTGTTATCAGTCCGACAATTCGCCTATACAGCCTGCTATGCCACAATATACATAATATGAAATTCTATTATTATTTGTCATTACAAGTAATGTTATGACGTTATCACTAATTATTACTGTTTGTCTCAAGCATAGACGTACAATATATTATACATTGTCTATGGTGCAAGATTGTCATATAGATAAGCCGGCGTACCGCCAATTAAGAGCGTTAAGGTCACCCAAAATACCCAAGGTCGTCTGGTGGTGTAAAACTGCATTAAAGGTGGAGAATCACTGATCGGTAGTTTTAAACTTCCATGTGTCATGTGTGCATTGTGCTCTCCGGGGTGACGGAATTCATAATTTTGATATTCTCTTTTGTTATACCACGTGATGTCTTGTTTTCTATTTCATATTACCGCATGAATTAATTTTAGGAAGATTATATTCCGTATTCGTTTCAAAATCGTTTTTATAATTAATTCTTGAGTATTATCGTATTTCTGTGTTCAAAGGTTTAGACGCCAGCGTCTTGCAGTCTCTTGCCGACAACGACGCACTTGATTTTTCAAGGCTTGCTCATCGTTGTTTCCACGACGTTGACTTAAATTACACGGTAAGTGAATCATATCCATTCGATATGTGTTTATTAAATTATTAAAAACCAGTTATCAATTAGGTTTGCTTGCTTATAACGACTTTTTTTTTAGGTTAGATTTTGTTATTAAGAAGGGGGTATTCGAGATTTTTAAAAATCTACATAGGGGGAGGGGCTTAGAATCACTGTTCTACATGCTTCATAATTAGCATTCTGAAAACGTGTTCGATGTCGTTTGCAGACATATCTTGAGAGAATGCTACGCACAGGATCTTATCAATTAGAGAGGTAGTGCGTGCGCCTAGCGATGCCTACGTTCCCGGTGTAGTACTCAGAAGCGTTAATAAGTAATTAACACTTAAACAAAATATTTGAAATTTAGAATATCACGTACAATAGTGAGAAATAGGAGATAAGGGTCTAGAACAATTTGCTGCTACTGTCTTTCGCCGTGACTCATTCACCTTGAGACGTTTCACCATATTTAAAATTTCATTATCAAAACCCAGCAATAGGTATGTATCCTCGGAGTGAAGTTTTAAGTGAATTTGATTTTTGTTTTTTGAATTATTATGGAATCATTAAAGCTTTATTATTTTAATGATATTTTAAATTACTTTAAATAAGTCGGTATATATTATGTTACTGTTAATGTCCGCAGTTGATGAATGTTAACAGTCACCTGTCAATGTCGACATACATCAAAGTCATTGGTAAATGTTGGCATATTGATTAAATTTGTATTATTTGTAAATATTCACTCTTGAATGTCGACATTTATATAACGATTTCGGTGAATGTTTGTAATGCCAATATTGTTTTGTGGATAAGCCACATTAATAATACAGTTATTATTAATCTAGACATACTACTTAGTACTTATACAATAGTATAGATAATTTAGAACTTGTTAATAATTTTATAAATGTTTTATTTAAAATAAAAGTTTCTTCTGGCTAAAGTTGGTGAAACTGTCCTTATTGAGTTCCAGATATTGATCGTAGTAAAATGGATATAAAATTTTTTAGCCATAGTATTAGATATAGTAGATAATGATTTTTATAAATTACCTACCAAAAATGGTTTTATAAATCAATTATACATCAGGAATCAGTTTTTGGTACCTATGTAAAGAAAATTTAATATCAATTGCTAATGTACTAAGGGATCACCAAATTTCCTTAAGTCAAGTTTCTGCATCAAATTCGTCAATTGGTAGGCAAGGATATACCCGATGTAATTACAAAACAAAGCGCACCACAATAAATGTGGTTGTAAAAATGTTGAAAGTTTAGGTAACATAAAATGTCATGTTGCAATAAGTAATAATTTTTGTATGATAAATAATAATAATTTAAATTAATAAAACAAATATTGTTTAATAATAATAATACTTTGTTGATTAAATTAAACACATATCTATTGGATATATTGTATAATAATATTGTAGACTATATTATGGCCTATATGTAATTGCAAATACATATGTCAATATTAACCAAAATCCTGATGTGAATGTCAACCTTGATTTGTAAATGTGTAAAATTGTTTTAATTTTTCTACATTCACCTATTAAGTTGTATGTTGACATTATTCGGTGACTGTCAGCATTCACCAACTGCGGACATTCACAGTAACATACACTACACTTCCAATCAGAATCCTCCAGTTTAAAACCAGATTTAAATAGAGAATATTTTATAGTCACACAAAGGCTTATACTTGTACAAGTAAAGATTTTTAAGATATTGAAAGTCTGAAAATGGAGTTCAATTGCATTTGGGGAATTCATCTAAGCTTTTACATATATTTTTGAAAGAAAGATGCAAATATCGCGAAATGTATGTAAATCTTTATTTTTAATTTTAGATTAATTTTAAAAATGGCTTTATTAATAATGTTCTAATTTCTTCATAATCAATTAAATTTATAGCATATGAATGTGCAATATCAAAAATGCAATAAAATTTGTTGAATGATTTTTCTTTTTATTAATTTGGTCATACTCTTTCACTTGCTACATTTTTGTAAAAATGTCTATTCTTTGTATAACACTTTAACATGAGTAATACTATGTTAATTTTTTGTAGGAATTAATTATTTTGGCTAAAATATTTCGATTTCTTTAACTACTAATGTTGCATTAACACGGAAATTTAGTTTAACTTTACGTAAGTTCTAAAATAAAACCTTCAAAATTTGTCTCATTGACAATAAATTAACATCAATAATTTGATTTTTAATATAACCAATTAAAAATATTTTTTGACTAAATCTAGTATCCATTTTTAATTATTTAAGTTAATAAAAATTGTACCTAACCCACAGAAAAATATTAAATCTAGACTATAATAGTAAACTGTTTTTACAGTTTTAATTTAATTTGGGATTAACATTAAATATGACCAATGTAAGTCATAAAGTAAGACTATCATATAGTATTGACAAATATTATGTATTTTTATAATACTATTAATATCTATCAAAATATCCTTAATCTAACATCACAGAAAAACTCTAGTATTTGGATTAAGCTTTTTATCACATTTTTATATATGATTTAATAATAATAATAAAAAAATAAGACTAATAATACGTATACCAATAACAACAAAGCAACATTATTAAAAATATTTTAAAATACATTGTGGAATATAATTTAGAAGTATTTTTGTGTATATTTTTATTTTTGTTAAATTAATTAAGTGTTTATTAATTTTTTAGTGTTTTCAATTAAAATGTCCACATTCATATGACAACAAAGAAGTTATTAAAATCTTAAAATAAGATTAAAACAAGTTCTTGGTGTTTTATTAAAAAAATTAAATCTAAACAAACTGTGATAGTACACTATTTTCTTCTATTTAATGCATTTTCTGTATTATTAAATATTCAAAGTGGAGGTAGTAAGCCTCCACTAAATATTATTCAAATGACCTCAAACTTAGAGAATATAATTTTTTTACTATACAGCATGAGATAGAGGGGTGTCTTGGAAGACATTTTGAAATTGACAAAATAAGGACCATCTTAATGGAGTATGCATATATTTATAAAAATTAAAACCATGTCACCATGAATATCAGTATGATTATATAATAAATATAAGAATAGACACTCCAAAAATTTGAATCATGAAATCATGAATTATATTTGCAGGTTTGTGGCCCAAAACTAACTCATTCCCGGCCCAATAGAGGCTTGCTGGTGACAAGGGGTGGGACATATACCTTCCTTGCCCCTCCCCGAATGACGCCACTAGAATCAGTATCTTGGTATAAATTATACATTTTAACTCATTTTTGAAAAAGTGAAGTTATATAAGTAGGTACCTACATAAAGATACCTTACTCATATTGAGATACTTCATAAGATATATTTCAGATACTTACCTACAAAATTTGAGACTAACAACTAAATGTCATAGTTCATTATTTTTTATTTTATTTTATTTTCTTATTTCGAAGAACAAATTATTTTCAATTTTTGTGCAAGTACTTAGCGTTATAGATTTTGTTAAATATTATAATATGGTGACATTTAATTAATTTGTATTTGTATGTAGGTGTGTCACAATGATACAATTTCAATAAATTTGTTTTCTATTAAAATTTTTGTTTTACTTTTAAGTTCTACATATAAAAAAATATTTATGCCTTATGAAAGTCTAATGGCTTAATATGTAACTTATAATAGTTAATAGTTTGGTATAGCTATTATGAATATAGAGCAATAACACTAATTTTAATAAAATTAATAAAAATGAGAAAAAATGTAGAGCTTCCTATGGCTCATTGTAGAATAGTTCTGATAATCATTTTTACAGTAGGTATATGAAAACATACCGCAATAATAATTAATTTACTAAAACACTAATTTTCAAAGAAATTAAGGACATTACCTGGTCAGTCATTTACATGTAATATTAAAAGTAATGACTGTAAAAAATTATTTTTTATTTTAATTTTTTGTAAAAGTAAAATATTAATTTTAGAAAATTGAATTCCATATCCAATTGAGAAATGGATTTTCATTATTATCATGTGGCTTACCATATTATTGTATACCTACAAAATAATGAAGGTGGTAACCTACTGTCATTGACACTTTTTAATTTTGTCATTGGTGATTGTCTCTTCCATCATTATTATAAAATATTTTCTTTTCCTCAATATTAGTTTATAGTATCCACAATATTATGAGCTGTCAAAAGCATTCAAAGTTTATTATGCCTACTAGCTTCACTTGTCAACTAGTAGGTTACATATGACATGATTTCCAATAGATTTATCTAGGAAATAAAGTATTATTACTTTCAAGTTTTAAAATAAAAAAAGTATTTGTAAATTATTTATATACCTTCTCTTGATTTAAGTATTAATTTTAACTAAACAAACAGATCGATTATAATGTTTGGTTATTGATAAAGTAATGATCATAGATATATTCTAGTTCTTTTTTATTCATAATTTTTTTTTTACAATTAAAATTCTTAAGAAGTTTGAAAGCTGTGTTTTCTATCTTTATCTTACAAACCTGCAATAGGAATTTAATCTATCGTGTTCTTTTTCAAATGTACCAATTAATTGGTCTAGTGAAGTGATAAGAATTCTGAAAACAATTTTTTTAATTGTTCATCAATTTTATTTGAAATCTACTAAATTTGTCCAAAAATTAAAACATTTAATTCTTTAACTACTCCATTTTTAGGTAGGATTTAGAGGGATAAAATCAAAAATTTGGGATGTCAACTTTTGTAGACTTGACTACAAGTTCAAATCAGTTCAGAATTTTTATTGCTTTACCTTTGCTAGACCAATTGATTTGTTGGAAATAGAATACATCTAAATTTGTATGTTGCACGAATGTAAGATAAGGATACAAAATCACCAATTCCTCCAATTCCCTTCATATTAATCATTATTAATCATTTAAGTTATTGGTTTTTGAATTTATTTCATAAAATCATTTTTGTCAACTAAAGTGGGCACATTTTTAAATTTTGTATTGGTGAGGAGGCCTAAGAATGTATTTAAGTGACATGTTTTATGCAATATTAAAACTGCTCAAAATTAAAGATAAGTTATTCAAAAAAAAAAAAATGGTTTTAACAATAGGAACAAAAGATAGTTAAATAATTACCAAAAATTATGTACCTATATGCAAATTGTGTAAATCATCTGTCATAATCTTCCATTCATGAATTATGGAATTTGTACAAAGTGTAAAATACTTTGATGTAAATCTTTGCAATTTAAATGTATATTATCAATTAGTATTATTTGTAATAACCATAAATATGCCATTTTTTACAAATCTTAACTTTTGACCAAATTCATATGGATCTAGAACAATTCATCCCACGAAAAAAAACCGTCATATGTGGTTACTTTCATCACCATCATAATTTAATACAGGAACAATCCGTCTGAAAATTTATATCAGCATATTTTTATAAGATAATATTTTAATACAATTTTCTTATTATTTATCACTTACAATTTAGTACAGATTTTAGAGTTTAGTACACAGTTCTAAATTACCTAATACAATTATATTTTTGCAACTTAAAAAATGCTATATAATAATATAGGTAATTTGTTAAAATATGCATAGTTTGAATTATATTTTAAAAACTAGTTATAGTTGAAATGACAAAATAATTTAAAAATTTGAAAAATAAAATTGAAAGAATAAAATAAATGAATGATTTAAAAAAATCCTAGTGTTTAATATTGATACTTAAACTATTACAAATAGTTACAATTTTTTCTGTGTTGCTATACGTTTCATAAAATTATTTCAAAATATAATCATATATACAGAGGTGGTCAAAAGTCGCGCAATGCCTACCGTCTTATATGAAACGCGTTACAGCGCAGTTTCTCCCTCCACGTCGTTTCCGTTACGTCATATTGCAACTTTGGTCTCGTTATCTTGTTTACGTACAACAACAGCAAGGTTTATAAAAAATCAACATAACCTAATAGACGCAGTTTCATGTTCGTTATCGTTCGTAACACTGCCGAAATGCCCTCTCCAAAATTGTCGCTTGTTGAACGCATTTTGTTAATGGCCCCCAAGATCACCCGATCTCACACCTTGTGATTTCAGCATGTGGGGAGTTATCAAAGATCGAGTTTACAAGTAGCCAATCCAAAATTTGATTCATTTAAAAAAGCGAATCGAGGAAGAATTCAAAATGTTGAGCACCGATTATTCGTATCTTTACAACGCCACGAACACGGTAAAGAAACGTTGTGGAGCAGTTATTGAAGCTGGAGGACATAATTTTGAACATTTATTATAATTGCTGTGAGATGATGTTACTTTGTAATGTTCATTTTTATATCATTTTTTTTTATTTGAAGAAATAAACGATTTTTTTTACTATTACTAATTGTGTTGCAAATTTGTTACGCGACTTTTAGCCACCTCTGTAAATGTGCTGAAACATTTTTTTACCGAGAACTAATTATCTGTGTGTAAAATTATGATGGGGAAGATTGTTCGCATTCAAAGTTATTTTGCAGAGACAAATTGTTCTTTTTCCAATTTATATAATTCGGTTAGTTCTTAAAACATAGCTTATTATAAACAAATTCGCGAGCAGCAAATGTGTTGAACACTTTGACAAGTAGAGTGCAACTTAGTACGTACCTAGGGAGGCTGAGGAGCTGTAGCCCCCTTTTTTAATAACTTTTGTTATTCTCAAATTCGTTATTATTATATGTAATATGAACTAAAAAGAAATGTTGCCACCCATTTTAAATTTCATATAATTAATGTCAGTAGATAACAAATTGAAATAAAAATTTAAATAAAATTTATGTTGGAAAATAAAATTGTGTATAAATAATAAATTTAATATAATAATATTAAATATGTTAATATGTCAGTTGGTTATACAATATGAAAATAATTAAAGTTCTAGTCGCCATTGTGTATTGTTAAGATGTTAAAACTTTTTAAAGATGTCTTTTGGATCTAATTCAGATAAAAATTCTTGTTCAAATACTAACATCATTGACTCTAATCGATCTTGCATCAAACAACTTCTCAGCTATGTTTTTACCAGACTTAATTTTAAAAAAGATTTCTCACAAGAGTAACTTGTGACTGGCATTGTTGCAAAAAGAATCAATAGTTTATAAATGTTTTGAAAACTTATATAAGCCATTAGTAGACAAGGTATTTAACCACTGATGAATAGTTTCACCAGTTTTACCAATTTAAAATTCAAGAAACGATTTTAATAACCTGAGTTTTGCTTCAAGTTCACTGATATTTAAGTTAAACCTATTGGAAAGTAAAATTAAGTTATACATTTATAGGTTAAACAATTTAACTTAAACTGTAATAAACGTCCAATACTCCAAATGCACTTATTAGTAAAAGTGTTTGATCAAAACGTTCTCTTAATCCATTTAAAAGGTCACCTAAAACTGTATAATATACAAAACATTTTATTTCAGTTTTTTTTTATCAGAGTTAAAACGTTGAGTATTGTTGTTGTCAATTTGATTATTCACTTTTCTTTGTTTTATATTTTAGTATCTCAATTTTTTTGTAAGTGATACATGTACAAAACTTAGTCAAATAATTTTGAACAGTTATCTTAGGTCACTTAAAGATTTCTTTAGTGCTTCAACAATTGATACGACAGCTAAGATGTTTAGATTTGTTGATTGTAACTGCTCTAATTATGTGAATTTGAATCAGAATAGGTTTTAAAACAGTTAAAGCAAATATAAAACTAAAGTACCGTCCATACCTTTTCTGTTTACTCTGGACATGTCTTAAAAACATGGAATGAATAAAATGTTTAATAAATATGAATATCAGAATAGTGTATACGATCTAGTCGTATAGTAAAACAAAAACACTTGTCCAGAAATGGCAGTCCAGTACCCGTTATCGTTTATCGTAGATATCTTAAAGAAATTTCTTTATTATCAATGTTGTACAACTGTCGTAGAAACCATATAAATTAAAGATATCTTTAATATCTATAGTAGAAACGCCGTGAAACGGCTGTGATTAGTAATATCACTGTTAGTGATTACTGATTGGTTTTTATAACTTGTTATATCAACAAAGCGAATTTGTTTATTGCTTAGGTTCAAAAAAACACAAAATGTTCATTACTGATAATATAATAATAAGAAGCGTATGACACCTGTATATTGTATATTATATTCCATATAATAATACTATAATCAAAATGTAATAGAAAGTACTTTTTCCACAAATTATATTTCATTCGTATTTTATTTTTGGTATTAGTAACAAAAATTTATGAATTTGGACAAATATTAAGTAGGTACCTATTTTATATTAATATTATTAATTTGTGTTAATTTGGTTCATATAATTTCTATGATTAATTAATATGTATTATAATGTATGTATTACTTATTCTATAGAGATAAATTCAATTTTTTTTCTTTTTCTCCTTCGCCTTCATTCAAACTATTTGGGGTAATCTTTATTACAAAACCAACAGGTGTTTAAAACTCAATTTCGTCTATTACTTATGTCTCTAGTTTTTTTGTCCTGAAAAACTCTTGTCTTAAATCTGGACGAAGGTACCTACTCTATATACTCTATTCTATTGTGATAAATTCAACATACCTACAAATATTTTTTAAAATATATTTAAATATTTTACTAGACCATTGTGTATAAACAGCTAAACAACAACAATGGCATAAATGAGAAATTGATAATGTATGATCATCAATGACCTGGTCAGAATTATTTTGACTGATTAGATAAAAATAATAATTATATTGTGTACACATTTATACAGAGTAGTAATATATATATATATATATATATATTATTTTCTTACATTACTGAAAATTAATTTCTATTAAAATCTGAATAAATATGTTAATTTTTTTCATATTTAACATTTATATTATGTTTTACATCTATTTTAATAAACTAATATTTATTCAATTAAATAAAATTAAGCATTAGGTATTGAACAGTTTGTTATTAAATTCTGAGTGGAGCGAAGAAGCTTATGGTTTTATAAAGATGTTTTATTAATGTTTTTTTTTTTCTCTGGATAACTTTTCTACCAGAGATCTTGCCCCAATTTACAATGATAGAACTTTTTCTAAAAGAAAATCTGTCTGGGGAGGTACTTTAAAGAAGTTATTTTTCGATTTCCCTAGGAGTTTTCTCAACAAATTCGAAAAATCAATATTAAACGATTATTAAAGAAAATATATAATGTTTATTTAATTATTTTACCATAATATGACATATATTGTTGACAAATTATCATTATCAACTAAACTCCATTCAGAATCATTTTTTCGTTAACAATGGTCTATCATTGCTTACAGATATACATTAAATTCCCTTCTTTATCCTACCCTCCCAACTTCTCATCTAATGAGTGCTAAGAAAAATATGATTTGTGTACACTATATAGAAAGTTTGAGAAAAAGTTATATTTTATGTTTTTCATAATTAAATTGAAATCAAATTTATGGACAATGAGTGATAATATGATTATTGACAAACATAAATGATTATATTTATTTATTTATTTATTTGTAGGTATTTAAATTATAGTGTAATAAATAAAATTAATTGGATAAATGATGTACAAGAAAATTAAATACTTAAAATGTTTAAGTTTTTTAAATGTTTAAATTGAGATTAAAATCAATTAATGACTTGTGATTGGTTTGTATAATTTGAATATGCTTGATCATATTTTAAATTGCTGTGAATAGAATTATTATGTAAGTATTGCTAGTAGAAAAGTAAATTTTTTGTTTAAAGTTTTCTATTTTTCAGGAATGGCGGGTCGAGGTTTTTTAAAGAGCCATTTGCCCCAGGCACCAAAATCTGATGAAGGAGAACCAAAACCAGATGAATTGCCAAAATCTCTAGATGCGTCAAACAATGTTCCAACAAAACGAACAGCAGTTGTAAATCCAGAGGCCATAATTTCTGGCCGTATACATAGTGTTCGAGGAAGACGAGTAAATATTAACTATTTTTGCACTTAAAAATTAGAGACTTAATAAATAAGTTTATTTTTTAAAATATATTCTTATTGAATATTTAATAGTTTTAAAATTTTATAGGTATTAATATTAATTCTTTTTTTTAAATTATAAATAATTCAATATCCATTGAGGGAAAAACAATAGGCAATTTGTTTTGTTTAAATCCCTTTAATACTATGGACCACTTGCAATGGGTTGTAGACCACCACAATTTACATGAGCAGATAAGAGCACAAAATAAAAAAATATCTCCTTTTTCCTGTTGTGATCTACTCAAAAAAATATTAAATTTTTAAACTACCCCTAAATATATATTTTATATGTGTGATTCCTAATAAAAATAAACAAATGTTAGTAAGATTGAATAATAATATTTTACTATTAAGTGAAAAATTAAATATGTTAAGGATAGTGTGGTTTCTATTTAAATAATGTATAAATTTAGCATGATATGTTTATTTATTATAAATATTTCATATTGATTTAATTCATATGTTAGCAATTTTCAAGGAAATCTTTATGTTAATAAACATTGGTCTAAAGTCTAAACCATCGTGTAAGAATTGAATTTAAAATTGATGACCAATTCTAAATATATAAGTTGTAGTTTTAAATCATTAAAAAATATTATTAATTTATGTTTTAAAATATTTTTCTGTATACAGTTTGTTAAATGTGAAATTAAAAATTATTCAATTTATTAATAACTTAAATATTTTAATCAAATTGATTTTTTTGTTAATAGGCAATGTTGGCACATCTTGCTGTTGCTGGTCAAGATCCTGAATCAAAAATAACAGGATTAAATCAGAATATAATCTCAACATTTTCAAATTTGGACCTGGAAAAACCAGCTTTGTTGTTAGTATCCTCCTTTATCATTATGACTTGATTAGCACTATATATTCATATATTTTGTTTGATTAATAATATATTATACTATTTTAAAGATTTTGATGTAATCTGATATAATATTATATTCATTAAGACGTTTCATAGGAGTCGTGTTCAGGCAATTTCTTGTTTTGTTGAGTTACACAGTGTCTTTGTATGAGATGTAAATGGTTAGTGTGTGTGACTTATATTGTACAAGTATTATAATAAAACGGTTTTTTGATAACTGCAGGATAATAATTAATCAGTAAACATGCAGTACCTTTTTAATTTTAGATATTTTTAAATTTCTTTATTAACAATTTTACAATGTTTAGTAGTAAGTTATTAATTTACCTTTATATTATAATGTTTATTACCTACATATTGGGCACGCTTCAACGATTTTATTTTGGTTTTGACATTTTCAGTTATGGATAGAACGTGTTATGAGGAGTACAATAAACTAATTTTTAGCCTGGAAGTCAAAGGGTGGCATACACAAGGTATAAAGATTTTTTTTTTTTATTTAAAAAAAAAAAATTGCTGTAGACAGGGTATGGTCTAGTATATACCTAATAGTTTATACTTAGTAATAGTACTAAGTATTGAATTTTTAAACTTAAATAATATTATAACATGTGATTGTATCCCAAATAATCACATAAAGTTCACACGGTTCATTAGTTAATAAATTATGTATTACAATATTACAGTGAATTACATAAATATTAATAAATTAATTAACTAAATACTAAGTATGTTATAAACTAGTCCTTAGGGAAGTCCTCTGTCAAGCGGAAAGTCTATTAATTCTGGAAGTAAACACTTGATATAGATTTTTTCATATTTAGTTCAATTTTTTTCCAGAGTTCATTGTCTTTTATGATCTGAAACATTTGTATGATTTAATTTATGATTATATTTTCCTTGTTATTATAAAATAATAAAATTGTGAAATTATACTATTCTCACTTAAGTGCTTTTATTTAAAAAATGGTGTCAAAAATAAAAAAAATGACTTGTTTAAAGTACCATCTAGACAATTTCAGCTTTCAAAAAAGTTGCTACACATAAAAATCGGAGCAAGTTTACTATGAAAAAACATGTCCACAGAAAAAGAAAGAAAAAATTAACATTTTAGTAAAACTAATAGCTCCCTCCCTACGCTCAGAATCCCTTTTTCTTATATTTTCAATTTTTTTCCATTTTGTATTTTATTAAAAAAATATTTTACTATTAAAAATTACCTATGGAGACAAGAGCAGTAGTGCAATAGGTAGTGAACATACTACGTGATTGCAGTTAAAACAAGAATATTAACAAGCATAATAATGTTAATTTTACAAAATATCATGGTTTTACTAAGTATTAATAACATTGCCATGTGTTTTATTTAAACCTAACCTAACCTAACCTAACGCAAACAAAACAGTCTGTATCCAATCACCTTAATAGTATTATACTATATTTCCATGTAAAATTAAATATAAATCAGAAGTTATATGTTATATATCACTATAACAATATGTATATATATATATACTCTTGTTTCAAAAGAGAACATACTGCTTCGCCAACCAGTTTTTGTTCCTGTCCATCTCCAGTTCAGCTTATTGTGAACACACAGTCCTACGCATAGTACATATCTGGTGTTTTATTTTATAGTTTTACACATTATTATGGACCTACTTGGACTTGGTCAGATATCATAAATTATAAATAATTTATTTGAAACCGACAATAGCGGGAGAAAATCAGGATGACCGCCAGCCATCAGTCGACATATAAAAAAGTGATATGTTATATATATATATTAGTTTCTGACTGAAGTGAGGAATGTATTGGTTTAAAAGGATGTTTTTATTTTTTTTGCTGGAAATCTTATTCAGATGAACCCAGTGTTTATTTTATTTATTTAGTACTTTAGGGAGGTTGATTTTCCAAGTGATTTTCATAATAATTGGGAAACACCTGACAAATATTTTTAATAAAACAATTTCATAATTTTATATTTTTGTAACTTATGTTTTCTATTAGAAATGTTGCTCTTATAAAAAACTGAGAAGATATTGTTGATGCATTTTTAATCTACTTGGTGATTTTGAAAGTTATTTAAGATTTTTTGTTGTTTTTTTTTTTAATGTAATTCAGTTAAAAATATTTGTAAAGATTTACTTGAAATTGTACAGAAAACTTGTATTTTCTAGATGCATACAATTTTCAAAACATTTGAGTCATTGTTGAGTTATTTATAGATATTTCAATTTTGCAAGTTATTTTATGTAATTTTTATTTGGTAAGTTACTCCATGGATAAAATTTGTTACACAAAATAGAAATTCTTAAAAATTTAACAAGAGGTTTATAATAAAGTGTACTTAGTAGTCAACATAAAAAAGTAATATTTGATGTAATATGTATATTTTTTTTTATAAGACTTTAAATCTAATTACGAAGAAAATTTTAAATAATTATGGTCTTTAAGTCTTTAAAACATGTATAACTGAATGTGGCTCAAAATTGCTTTTAGTTTGCAATAATTTATCATTATGTACAGCTATACATTAAATTCTCCTTTATATTCTACCTTTCCAACTTTTCATCAACAACAATAGCCAGCCCACCCATTGTGTGAAGTATATAATTCTTTTTATATATTATATTTGTAATTTTTATTATTTCCTATCATCCTACCTAATAAATTATATTATTTTAAGATAGATTATGAAATATTATAATGATTAAATTACTGTTTCTACTAATTGATGTTCAAAAATTGATTCAATTTTTTTTTTTGTATTTTATTTAGGCCATCAACTAAGTTACCAGAAAAAAAAAAAGATATAGTTTCTAGAACGCATACAGCAGTAATTGCACCACAACCAGAACTTGTTCAAGAAAAAGATATACCTCTATTAAAAGAAAAAGAAAATTCTCCCTTACTATGCAAAGTTTTAAAGAAATCTGATAAAGATTCTTATCAAATGTATGATCATTTTATTTTATTTTTCTTAATTTATACTACACAAGTTCATAAATAAATATGATTAGAAGTAAAATAATATATATATAATAGCATTTTATTAGAAATGCGTGTTGTGCACATTCAAGATACGATGTCTGTTAAGCTTATGTAATTTATTTTACCTAATGATTATATAATTAATAGTTAATAGTATAAATCTTACAAAATTTGTATATAGGTAAAAATGTGCTGCTTTCAACCCTCTTTATTCTATTTACGCTTATTTACTAGTAAACATATAATTTTTTTTTTATAAGATATTCCGAATAATAGAAACAATTGATTTGTGTTATTATATGAGTTTAATATATTAATTCGAGTTGTTGAACTCTGATTTTTAAGGTCAAACCAAATGAAACCAAACTTTCCTTAAAATTAATAAACCAAACTTACATATTTTTATTTGAAATCAAACTGAACTTTTATAGTATTTTATCCCACTTGAACATTAAAAAAATTAAAAAGGTTAATTTAGCTTCGTTAACCTTTAGGACCTTTACCAATTTACGATTATGAGATCCACTAATAAGAAAAACAAGAATTCTTCTTTTTGTAACAAGGTGGTGGGATAGAGCAGTTGCAGAACATTATTGTCTTGGTGTTGATTGATTTTCGAAGTGAATTTATTTAGTTCGGTTTCATTATTTGCAATTTGAAGTTCGATTTTTGAACAGTTTGTCACATCTCTAATTTATATATATTTATATTTAAAAATAATTTTACTTATTTATTTTTTTGACCTAATGTAATAAAATGTGTTATTAGATTTGAAAGTGTGTGAAATTTTTGTAAATTAATTTTAAGGATTATTTTATTTTTGGTGTATTTATTTAGGACCACATTGTCATCTAATTACATAAAGGTTGAGTTAGAAGAAAACAAAGGTATATATGAATACAAAGTTGATTTTGATCCTCTAATTGATGTTAAATCTGCAAGATTTTTTTTGCTAAATCAACACCGAAAAGAACTTTCTGTGAGAACTTTTGATGGAGCATTGCTTTATATGCCAACAATGTTGCCCAGAAAAGTATATTACATTTTTATATGATTATTTATTTGTATATACTTTCTTTACTATAAATTATTATTTTTTGTTTAACCAAGGAAACAACTTTAGTATCAACACTAGATGATGGATCTGAAGTGAAAATAACTATAACATTTAAGCGTAAAAATTCCTTGCGGGAGTGTATACACTTCTACAATGTTTTTTTGCGTACGATAATGAAAATTCTAGGTTTGATTGAATTTGGTAGAAGTTGTTATGATAAAGATAAAAGGATTCTCATTCCTGAATTTAAGTGAGATTTTAATAAGCATTATATAATTTATTAATAAACTTAATATATATCTTATTTGTTTATTGTAGACTTGAAATTTGGCCCGGTTACATAACTACAATTGACGAATTTGAAGATGGTCTTTATATGTGTGCTGAAGTTTCACATAGAATTTTACGATGTGAAACAGTTCTTGAAATAATGTAAGAAAACTATGTTATTCATATTTTAACTTTTAGTTTATAAATCATGTTTTAAAATTAAAATTGTTTGGTTCATGTAAATTAAAAAAAAAAAATTGTTTAGATAATTATGTAATATAATTTTATGAGTATCATTGCAATTAAAGTTTGATATATTTTTACCTCAGTCCCTCATACTTTAAATAAGTATTAACTTCTGATTTTCAAATAGTAAATATCTTTTTGAATACAAATTCCAACATAATATGGTTTTACAATATGGTTTAAAATTGTATAGAACTATAATATTATAACAGTTATTAGATTCTCCTGATTTTTTGAGAAAAGAATTTACAATGGAATCCCCTTTTATCCTGCCCACAATCGGTCTCCTTTCATTATTCCTAATCACACCACCTCATATAGCCTTAACCACTCTCCACTTATCCTGTCCATACATATTTTCAATTTAGATGTGCCTATATTTTTAGAATTTTTAGTAATATATGTATATTGTATTGTTTGTTACTAGTCGGCATTTATTGTAAATAAAATGAAATAAAAATAACATAATTATTTAGTTCACTTAAAATTGCTTGTTCATAATAAATGGATAACCCTATATATATTATTATTCTGTAATTAGCCACATTACTCATTGTAAGAGCTTAACAAATTGTGTTGAAAATAATTATTTATGTAATGTGTTATAAAATACTTTTTTTATTGTACAGGGTTGACATGGGTAGACAGGCATCAGGTTCCAATAAGGATACCAAACTTGAAATAATGGCTGCTTTATGTGGATCCACAGTAATAACACATTATAACCATAAAACTTATAGAATTGATGATATTGATTTTACAGCTACTCCTTTATCAACATTTGACCAAAATGGTAAACAAGTAAGTTAACTTATTTTTATTAATAAAGATCTCACTTCTATTTTAAGATGATTAAAGTTAAATATAACGTAGTTCACTTGTTAATAAAGCCTATTTTTAGATATCCTTTGTTGATTATTATAAAAAAATGTATAACATTGAAATACAAAATCTTGGTCAGCCCATGCTTATAACAAAAGCTAAGAAAAGAGATATTAGTAACAAAAATTCTAAAGTTAGTTTGAATAATAAAGATAATTATAATATCCATGACTTATTTTACGTGGCTAAATTTAATTTTTAAATCCATAGGATTCAGATGTTTGCTGCTTAGTTCCTGAAATTTGCAATTTAACAGGACTAACTGAAATAATGAAATCAGATTTTAAGTTAATGAAAGCACTTCAAATGCATACTTTAGTTACACCACAAGTTCGACAACGTGCTATTATCGATTTCGTGAATAGTATAAATGGTATACATAATAAGTTTTTTTTTATTTAACACATTGATGGACACTTGTAATATAATTTTTACTGTTATATTAGTAGTGTTTTACCTATATCTAAAATGTATGTAAATTGTCAGTGAAGACTGTCGTAATATGATATTTTACATATTACTGTTATAGTAGCAATGCCCATCAATGTATTAAACCACCCTTAAGTTAAATGATAAATAAGAATAATTTATTCATATATTTATTAATTGAAGTATTTCTTTAAAAAGTAATATTATTAAAACCAAATATTAATTTTTGATGAACATGTTCCTAATAGATAATGAATTAGCTAGCAAGAAATTTAAAGATTGGGGATTAATTGTACGTCCAGAGCCAGTTAAACTGAAAGGTCCAGTATACAAACGAGAAAATATAATATTGGGAAATGGTATGAGAAAGCAAGTTGGAGTTAATATGGATTGGGGAATAGATGTAGCAAAAAGTGCAATGTTTATAGCAGTATGTACTATTTAAAAAAATATATTTTGTACATCTTACAATTTTGTTAATATATTGTTTAAAAAAATCTCTTATTATATTATTTTTGTTAATATAAATTTTTTATTCAGTTACTGATTCATAGAAGGACACTTATTATCTTGGAAAGTGTTAATTCTTTTGGAATTTGTTTTATAGATAATTTTGGAAACAAGCAGCTTTACAATTTCATATTTATGTTATTTTTTGTCACCCTTATTTTTGGGTGGTAAACTACACCTACTTTTGATTTTTAAATAGTAATTATGTAAAAAAAATCCATAAATATATTGCATATTAGTTAAAATAAATTTTGATGAAGAAATTGTTTATTTCTGTCAAATCATTGAGGACATATTCTATTTTTAATCTATGGTTGGAGAAGAGTTGTAGTGTATTATTAACACTATGGTACGACACAAATAAAGCTCCACTAACTACTCTCCCCAGTCCAAACTTAAAAGTGGATTATTTTTTCAATAGATTGACGAAAGTCAACAATTTTAACACAACATTTATTTTAACTAATACTCCATCTATTTATTGAATTTTGTTTATATGGGTTACCATTTTAAAATCAAAAGTAAGCAGTGGTCTAATACCCATAAATAAAGGTGAAAAAAGATAACATAAATGTAAAATTGTAAAGCTGATTGTTTCTTAAATTTTCAAAAAAAAATTCCAAAAACAGTTAATACTTTTGATAGATTGAACATTGTATACATCATGTTTTTCTTTATAGGTAAATTTATCAAACTGGGCTATTTTGTTTAATCCAAAAGATGAACCAACAGCACAAGCCTTTTGCAAACAGTTGGCCATATGCGGAAGACCTCTTGGTATGAACATAAATCCGCCAAAACCTGTTAAAATTTATGGAACAAACCCAGAAGTTTTTGTCAGTTCTATTAATAATACTATAAAATGCAATCCAGAATTGGAATTGATGGTTATTATATTCCCCAATCAAAGAGAAGATCGCTATAATGCAGTAAAACGTATTTGTTGTTCAGAATTGGGAATTCCATCTCAAGTAAAGGAGTATAAATTATTATTATTCAAATTTGCTTATTTTTTTAAACGAAAATGTTATAATCAACAATAAAATATTGATATATCAATTACTAGAAAAAAGACATACTTCGCACAATTGGTGGGTTTCTGTTGTAGGTAAGAAGTTAGAAATGTAGGGTATAGAAGGGAATTTAATGTATATCTGTTTAATTTTAATCGCAAATTAATCTTTGCTAATGAAAGAGGATTCTAAGCGGAGTTCAATTATACATGTTTTGAAAGTATTTAATATTTACTATTTTTTTCAAAACATGATATTAAAATGTTTTTAAAAAAAATATAACACTAAATAATATAAACATTATTTTTGTAAGTTTTCCTGTTTTTCTTATTTATTGGGAAAATCAAAAAGTGATCTCCCCAGGAAAATTTGTTTTTAGAAAAGTTGCTATACATTGTACAAAGCAAGAATTTTTGCACACTGTGTATATAAAAAAAAAAAAAAATCATAAAACTGATACTAATTGTAATATGAACTACTTTTAATAGATAGTGCTGTTTTGGAACATATAATCTATAGTGTCATATTTTTCTACTAAATGGATAACATATCTATCTATACTACTACTGCTATGTAATGATAACATCTATCAATATATATTTACAAATTAAATTTGTTTGTATTAAATATTATGGTTATAAGTTCAATGATATAACATATTATCACTAATATTAGTATTTAAGATATAATTTTATAATCAATATGATTTAATTTTAGATTCTGTGTGGAGCAAAGAAGCTTATGATTTTATAAAAATGTTTATTTATTTTTTACATTTTCTGTGGATAACTTTTCCTAAAAAGAAATTGACTGGAGAGGTATTTTAGAGATCATTTTTAGATTTTCCATTGTTTTCCTAACAAATTAGAAAACAAGAAAAACCTTGGAAAATAGATACAATTTTAAACAAATATTATCAATGAAAATATATATTGCCTATGCAATTATTTTACCATAATATGACATGTATTATATATTGTTGAAGAAGCACCACTATCAATTATTGAACACTGCTCATAGTTTTTTTCATTAGACTCTTCACTGTAAGTTGACCTGCTTCTGTACATGTTTGTCTGTGTAGTAGTGTGTACAGAGGAGTTGTTTCAAGCGGTTTTCATGAGTGGGTTAACTTATGGTGAATAGAGTATAGCAATGGTTAATTGTTGAGTACAGATATACATTAAATTTCCCCTCTACTACCTTTCTAACTTCTCACCTACAACAGTGGCTGTACCTACAGGCAAAATATGTGAACATTTTGAAAGATATACTCAGAATAACATAATAATTAACAAATTGTATTTATATTTCACACTTGTAATTAAAATATAAATCTCATAATGCACATAATGATAATAATATATATATATATATATATATATATATATATATATTATATGTTGCAGGTTATTATTTCTAGGACATTATCCAGACCAGATCGTCTAATATCAATAACTCAAAAAATTGCTTTACAAATTAACTGTAAATTAGGAGGTGCATGTTGGGCAGTTGACATTCCAATGGTATGATGTTTAAATTATACATTTATTTTTGTAAGATTCTAAGTTGTTTTTTTATCAATTTAATAAATTTATCATTGATAACTGTTTGATATTTTCAGTATTATTTATAAAATATAATTTTCTTTAGTTTCCTATTATTCTATTTATAAATATATCTTTTGGGGAGTATTGAATTCTGTAAAAAGTTTAATCTGAACATTTGATTTTAATTTTCAAACAACCAATTTCGTTCTAGATAAATCTAGATCAATTTCCTAATCTTGTAATTTTTTTTAAATTATGAAAAGCTAGAAAAAAAAGTAAAAAGAAATTTCAGTAATTATTAAACTTTGATTTCTGAGCCCTTCACATTAGTTTTTTTGTGTGCAATAATACTTAAGCGTGGTTGTGTTTAACAGTTTTTAAATTTTACTTCATATTTTTTCCAGTTGAGATTTTATAAATATTTAACTTCCAATTAATATTATGAAAAACAAGTTTTAATACAACTATTGTTACTTTTTATTATAGAAAAATACCATGATTGTTGGAATTGATGTATATCACGAAAAAGGTAAGCAATTAAGCAGTGTGGTAGGTATTGTAGCTTCTATGGATAAAACCTATACTGAATGGTGTTCAATGGCTGCAATGCAAAAAAGTACTCATCAAGAACTCTTGAACTCAATACAGGACGCTTTCCATAAAGCTGCGGACTTATTTAAATCTGTTAGTTTTGTTTAATATAAATTTAATGTATAATTAATAAATTAAATTATATTTTTCTATTTTAGAAAAATGGAGTATTGCCAGATAAGATTGTTATATATAGAGATGGTGTTTCTGATGGAGATTTAAAGCATGTAGAAGAGATAGAACTAGAGGATTTAGAAAATTCATTCAAAATCTATCCCGGAAATTACAAACCTATGATAACATGTATAATTGTCCAAAAACGAATCAATACAAGAGTTTTCAAGGTAATTTATTAGATTATATTTAACTTGTTGATTATAAACTATTACTGAATCTTAATATTGAATCAACTGACTATTTCATTATACTTATATTTAGTATTATATACACTATTATTCTATTGAACAGGACTTATAATTATTATTATTTCATTATTATTAAATTGTTATACCTGTTCAACTTTATTCTCTGTTTATTTTTATTTTTTTATTAGTATTGTGAAAGCAAATATTCAAATCCAAGTTCTGGAACTGTTATAGATAGTACTATAACAAGAAAAAACTTTTTTGATTTTTTTTTAGTTTCTCAACATGTGCGACAGGTTTGTTAAAATAATAACATTGTTTTTTTGTACAGTTTAAAATATTTTTAAAATTGGTTGTGTATGTGTGTTATAGGGAACTGTTAATCCTACTCATTACATTGTTTTAAAAAATGGATGTAACTTGAGTTGTGAAAATATTCAAAGATTGTCTTACAAGCTGACACACTTGTACTACAATTGGTGTGGCACAGTCAAAGTTCCTGCTCCTGTACAAGTAATTATGAATTAAATATTCTATTTTAAATTTAATATTTTGTTTATTCAGTAATTTATAAATATAATAATTAAACAAATATATATATTTATTTTATTGTTATTTTGATTTTTGATTTTTTTTTTTTTTGCAGTATGCTCATAAACTGGCATATCTTATAGGACAAAATGTCAGGCAAATGCCTGATGAAAAATTGACCAACACTCTCTTTTTCCTTTAAGATTTAGTGGTGTCCAGGAGTGCTCAAAAAGGTTAAATGTATAAAAGTATACATTCTTTGATAAATAAACTAATATGTAAATAATTGTGACCAACATTTTATTACTAATATTTATTTATTTTATCTTTACTATAAGTTATCAATTTACTTATGCATACATATGTTTTGTCCGGTTTATTATATTAAATAATTAAATAATTATAAAAGTTGTATAAGTTGCTTATCTGGTCTTAAATTTTGATTTAATAAATTAATAAATGCAAGTATTTTTTTTTAAAATTTGTATAACATTCAGTTCTTGTAATCTATAATACTTAATAAGTTAATAAAAAAAAACCTTGGTTATTTAACAGTACACATGGATTAAATTATTATTTAGGAATACATGTTATGACTTAATATTTTTTTATTTTATCACTTCAGTTTCAATAGTTTTATTTAACATTGATTTATATCTGGAGGTCAAACAATATCTGTGTAATGAAAAAACTGCAACCCTAATAAAGATAGTTGCTATAACAAAATAACAATTTACAAAACAAATTCCCATTGTTAAGTAATGTTTGTTGCAGACAATTATGCAATGCTAGTTTTTCTTACAATGTATTATTTAAGAAGGTGAAAATTAATGAAATATGGTACACCAATTCAATAAACCTCAAGATCAAGAAATAAGATTAGTATTATATTTCAATGGATTTGTACATTTTAATAATGGCTGTGCTTTGTATTTGTACTTTTAAGAAAAAAGTATGTATGTATAATATACACGTACTTTTAGAAAAAAAAGTATGTATTTATAATATAATATTTCAAGGAATTGTGTCAGTGTGATTATTTTCCAATATAAAATCCTTTTTCCAATTTTATTTTGAAATTAATAGGATTTAGTTAGTTCTATACCCACAGATAAATCATTACTAACTAAGTATGATCCGGAGAGAAGTCAAGTTAAATTTTTTTGAAATATTGTTTTTTTAAAAATTTTAACATAAAAGCTTGTAAATAAAACTATTAAATGTCTATATTACAGTCAGTACAACTTATAATAAACCTCATGTTCAATATTTCAAGCATTTTTGATTTTTGACACTGTCTACATTTAACCAAATAAAAACTAAAAAGAGCTGATACATAATGTTGTCATAGGCAGTATTAGATTTATACAATTAAGTGTATCCGACCTTTTTTTTGTGTATAAAGGGATTCTATAAATAAATTCACCAGCTTTGCCCATTTTATTAAATAATAAAATAATAAATTAAAAATAAAATTATTTAAAATGGTTAATACTCTTAAACAAATAAAAACATAAATAAAAAATGTATTACCTTTATTTTATTAAATTCACAATTTTCTTCCACAAGACTATAGTTGTCTACCTATTTTATATACCTACTTGCAAGTTAAAATACTTTTAATCACTTGATACTATTACCTGTAAGTGTATAATGTTGATTTATATACTACTACTCGTATGTATGTAATAGTAATATGTGAGTAGGTATTAATTATAAGAATTAATTGTTTAATTTTGTGATACATTAATTTTTTAAAGTATACATATTTGTATATGTTCATTTTTAATTTTAGATTTGGAGGGTGGCAAGTTTAGGTTTTACTATAATGTGTATATGTATTTATTGTGTCAATAAGCAAATTTTCTACTAAAAATCTTGCTCTGTTGTATCAAGTGTAGCATTTTTTTTGAAGGAAAATTTTTTTTAGTATTATCTCTGTATTGAGAAGATTATTTTTTGGGTTTACATAAAAATTTTGAAAAACCGGGATAAAATTATGTTTGAAAAAAACAAAAAACACCACAGTGTGTTGTATATTGACTTAACAATTTCATTGTTTTAAATTTTTATGAACTATGTTTGCTATCAGAAATATTATTGAAATCAAAAAATGCCAAGTGACCTATTTGTTGAATTAGATTTTTTGTTCACTGAATAATTCATATTTTGATTTTCCATGTTGTTTTTATGATAATTAAGAAAACCCAGACAATGACAAAAAACTAATAAATTACATTAGGATTTCTTTATTTTGAATTTGTACATACGATGTAGTCACATTTTCTCACGAGTCAATTTAGAAAACACTCTTTTACAAGAAAAACTTGTCCCAGGGTAAATAGAACAAGTTTGAATATTGAATATATATATATACAAACATAAACTTAATAATAGACAATTTAATAATGTACAAACTACTCTTCTCCAACCCAAACTAAAAAGTGGAATATCTCGTCACCGGCTTGACAGAAATCAAAAATGTCAATACTACAATTTATTTTAACTAAAACTTTATCTATTTGTGGACTTTATAATATAGGTTGCCATTTGAAAATTAAAATTAGGTAGTGGTTTTACCCCCGAAAATAACATAAATATAAAATTATAGAGCAGCTTGTTTCTTAAATGTTCTAAAACAAATTTGTTTAGGTATTTTATAATCCAATATATCATTTTATTTTATATATTTTTCTTTTACTAATTTATACGTGTGGATTTTACATTAATGCTAATAATATATATATATATATATTTACTTTCTTTATAAGGCTGTAATATATTATTTTAACTAATACCTATATTTCTTATATTTTCTCGTTTTTTTTTTCGGTTTTTCAAATTTGATGAGAAAACGTCTGAGACAATCGAAAAATGACTTCCTAAAGTATCTCCCTAAACTGGGTTCCTTTCAGAAAAAGTGCTACACTTAGAAATCCGAGCAAGTCTTCTGGTAAAAAAAATTGTTAATAGATAAAAAAAAAATAAACATCTTTGTAAAACCATAAGCTTCTTCACTCCACTCAGAATATAAAAATATTAAATATTGTAAAAATAAATTACACAATTATTAATTTGGAGGGTGGGTTGAACCCCCTACCGCCTTCATACTTGCCTGCAAAAGGTTATTTCATTTATATCTGTAAGCAACGATAAACCATTGTTGACGAAAGATGATTCCGAGCTCAGTTCGGTATTACATAATTTATTTTGAAGTGCCGTTATTTTTTTTTTTGATTTTCATTTAAATTTGATTTTAAAACACTTATTAAAAAAAAGCCTTTCGATGATTTTGAAAATTTGACCACGTCTGGGGAAATCCAATATAAGTATTATCACCTAGTTTTAAGTTTTTTCGTGTTTTTATAACCGAATAACAACAAAGAAATTCAAAAATTAAAATTTCATTAAAGCTTAAAAGTTTTGGCAATGATACCGTAAGAAAGTAAATCACAAAGGCAATAAAAGAGGTATCTTATGATTTTTCGATAAAATCATTTAATAAAAAATATCCGTGTTTTTATAAAATAATGAAATCATGGAGTTGTACGCTTTTCTATGTTTTTTCCCACTTCAGTGCTTTTATTTAAAATTGTGTTTCTCGCAAATGAGCACTCTTGTGGTCTTGCTTGACATATAAGTGTCAATTTGAGTTTTAAAGAATCAACTATTCATAATATTTAATTACATATAACGCTTTAGTCTGCATAGCTATTATATAAACCAATAATTTTTTTTCGGCGCATTTACATTGAAAAATAAAAAAAAAATGAGCAATTTTATAACTTTATTTTTATCACAAATATATAGGCATTTATTCTTTGAAAAATTAAAGAACTTATTAAACATCGTAATTATGAAATGAAAATAAACGTTTTATTATGTCGATCCGTTTTCATTAACATAATTATTGAACACAATAAAATGTGTAGGTAGAAATTATTAAAAAAAATTACGAATTTTTCATTACATTACGATATTATATTAATTTAGTTTATTTTAGATTCTGAGTGGAGCAAAAAATGCTTATGGTTTTACCAGAGCCGGCCGTAGGTTTTTTGCCGCCCTAGGCAATAGTTAATTTTTCGAAGAGAAGAGTGTTAAATAAAATATGGACATTCATTTTAAAATAAAAATATGGCTTGAATTTGAATAAAAATTTGCTTGCTCCAGTTGATGATTTAGCAGTATCATTTACAACTAAATTTAGTGTATGAGCATGACATGGTACAAAAAAAGCACGACTATTTATATCTAAACATTTTTTTTGTACACCAGAATGACGACATTTCATATTTGAGCCATTATCATAACCTTACTCTCGCATATCCTATATTGGGATTTTATTTGTTCTTAATTCTGACAATATTGCATTTGTAAGTTCCCGACCTGTGGTAATATTAACCGGAATAAATCCAAGAAAATGTTCACAAATATCTACTTGTTTTGTATCTCGGTTAATATCAACAAACCGTATAGTTATTGACATTTGTTCTACTCTACTTTTATCGGGTGTACAATCTAATAATAATACTTAGCATTTTTTAACTTTTCAAGCATTTTATTTTTAATTACTCGAGAAAGTAAATGTATAATTTCATTTTGAATCCCCTTACCTAGATAATGATTATGAATCTCCTTATTTTGAATTCTGCAAACATGTTCTGATAAAACACTATCAAATTTTGCCAACAGCTGTACTAATCCGAGAAAATTGCCATTATGGTTTTAAAAAGAACTCATCATGAGTAATATAATACACGTATAATATAATAATAATAAACTACTATTAAGGAGCATTCTTGCATAATTATTAACAACCTTTAAGACTTACAGTTTTCCAACTAAATAATAATTCTTAACTCGATAAGAACGTGCATTGATCATCTATGGTCGACTAACGCATGTATCGTTATCGTTGTTCTATTTATATTCAGTATTACGATTTTGGTGCGTTCTCGGTAAACGAAGTATCAATATTATATTATTATTATTAGTTATTACTTATTATTTATTACATATTTATTTTTGTATATTTTGAATAATGAACATACAATTCAGCATACTATATTATATTATAATAATTAAATTGGTTCATTCGAAATTTACCGCCCGCACAAAAGTGCTGCCCTAGGTGGCTGCCTATTTTGCTACAACATTGAGCCGGCCCTGGGTTTTACAAAGATGTTCATTTTTTTCTTTCGGTGTGCTGAAGTACTTTAAGGAAGTTTTTTTTCGATTTTTTCAACAGTTTTCTCATTAAATGCGAAAAAACGAAAACAAAGGGAAAATTTACGATACATATTAAATATAAATTACGATTTTTTGGAAGGTTTTTCAAGAAATGTGTAAAACGGGAAAATGTACGAAATATATTTGTACAATATTAGGATTTTTTTTTTCTGCGGATAACTTTTCTACCAGCAATTTTGCTCCAACTTTTAATGATAGCAATTTTTCTTAGGTACCTTAGAGGTACTTTAGAGAAGTTGTTTTTCGATTTTCTCTTGAGTTTTCTCATCAAATTTGAAAAACCGGGATAAAATATGGGAACACCGCGAAAAACGTAGGAAAATTGGTAACCTATTTTAAAAGCCTATTTAATTATTTTACTATAAAATTACATATAATATATTATCAAAAATATATTATATTGTTGATAAAGCATCATTTTCAACTGAACTCCGCTCAGAATCGTTTTTTCACAAGTAATGGTTTATTGTTGCTTACAGGTATTCATTAAATTATAGCAGTGGCTGCAAATGTCCTCATTATCCTAGATATCCTTTTTCAAATGGTTCTTGAAATTTGTTTGTCTACTTAAACCTAACACTTTTTTTTTTAACATGTTATTCAAATTATGTTAAAATTATAAGTTATTCAAGTCATATAATTTACTACTTAAATTAGAAATAAATGTGCAATAATTATTCATCAACTCTAAATATGCTTGTAATTCCATCAAGTTTTCAGATAATTTTTCATTTTCAATTGCTTCTATCTTTGTTTCAATAGATTAATACCATGATTACTTATACATGTTTTAAATATTTGCCACTTTTTAATATTTATGCGCACATTATATCTATTTAATTTTTTTAATACTTTTTCCGATTTCTCTTTGCATACTTTCACTGTTGAGAATCCTATAAAAATATCTAAAAACAAAATACATATAATCCACACAATATTTGATCCATTACAGCCTGAGAAATTGCAGGTGTGCTAGACACTCCAAATAATAATTTTTTGTATCTATATAATTCTTTTGACATATTTATTTTTAGGTATTATTTAAAAATTTGTACTACATTTAATTGTTGATAAGCCATTAAGTCTAATACACAGAATATTTTACAGTCCACCAAACTAGCAAACAATTCATCAGCTCTAGGTAGAGGGTAATGTTCTGTCTTGATCATTTTGTTTATTGTTAACCTTACCTTGCTATCTATACAAATTCTTAAATTCTCATTTTGTTTCAGCACTATAACTATAGGACTTGCCCATTCACTAAATTTTATTGGTTCTAATATTTTACTCTCTACTAAACTGTCTATCTTTAAATTTACTTTGTCTTTAAACTAAAGGAAACTGTATACAATTCATAAAATATCGACTTGGCTCTGGGTTTTAAAACCATTTCTCCTTTAAAATTTCTATACTCTTATCTAGCTTTGAACTTATCACTAGGAAACCTAAATTAAAATTAGATAAAATCTAATTGTAATATATTATTTCTCAAAGCTACATTGTTTATTTTAGAAGTAATATCTCTCAATTTAGGTACCTACCAATCTATAAAGCAATGAATGACCTAAAAACAGTGTTATACTTTTTTTAACTATCTATAACCAGCAGTGATTCTAATTCAAATACATTAGCAACCTTATTGCAGAAATACACATTTAAAATAAATCAATTTACCTATAACTTAAATAATTTCTCCTGTGACAGACATAAACTTGAAATTTACTTTATTTAACAAAAAATTATTAAATAGTTGCCTTGCTGTTTTGTTTATCACTGATGCGCATGCTGAGGTTTCTACTTCCATGGCTACTTTTGTTTTTGCACTGTTAACCATAAATTCGATAGTCAGTGNATCAATTTACCTATAACTTAAATAATTTCTCCTGTGACAGACATAAACTTGAAATTTACTTTATTTAACAAAAAATTATTAAATAGTTGCCTATATGCTGTTTTGTTTATCACTGATGCGCATGCTGAGGTTTCTACTTCTATGGCTACTTTTGTTTTTGCACTGTTAACCATAAATTCGATAGTCAGTGAACCACTTGATAGTTGATTGATTACCCCCTTGCCAATTTTACTCACCATATGATCTGGCAACTCTTGAATATTATTTCTTGATTTTGAATTGCTTCGACTAGGTACCATATCTTATGTATTCTAAATTTCTTTCCCTTAAAATCCTTAAAATAATTTTGAATATTTTACCCAAAATCTATAAACCTTAAAGTATATACTTTTGATTTTCTGGTAGGAACCCCCATTTTTGAACACAGATTTGACTAGAGAATATTTGTCTTAAAATGTTAATACCTATGTATTACACTAATATCAGATTTAGAGTTTATGAGTTATAACTAGGGCCCGGAACTTGATACAACGCATTTTTTTTTCTGTTTATTATATTCGAGGCTCATCTTTATAGAAATTTAACTTATGTCACGCAAAATTCAATGGTATGAATTTTATTTTTCATTTTTCAGTAATTCTTGGTTTTTAAGTTATTTTTTTTATCTATTTTAGAGCATTTTTTAAATTTTTGTACGTACAAGTGCATTTTTTTTGTTCAAACATTTTAAGTTTAAACTGTAGTTCTACATAAACACTCTATCTTAAATTCAAATCAAAAAAAAAAATAAATAATTATAAAACTAAAATCGGCCAAAATGTTGAACGGATAGATAAAATAATATGTTTAACTCATGAATAACAAAGAAAATAATAATGAAATATATGTTTATATTTAGCATGGAGACGCGACCACCACGCCGTGTCGGCCAGCACTAATTGGTTTATAATATTATTCTATCGCAAACCCGAAATATTTTATTACATTATGTATTTTCCTGTAAATCGTTTGTAATTTAACTTCTTCCGATTTTTACAGTTTAAATAAATTTTTACAAGTCATTTTTTAGGTTAATTTTTAATATTTTTATGTAATTTTATGCATTTTTTTCTTGTTTTTTAGGTCATCAAGTTCTAAGATATATACTGGAGGAGTAAAGGAAGGGTAATAAATTAAAAATATATTTCTGAATGATAAATTGATACCTTAAACTTTTCTACAATGTTTAAAAAAAAAAAAAAAAACAGAAGTCAAATTAACTTAAAATCCTCCGAGCTAATTGCTAGTTCATGATAAAAAAAAATTACTCTGTAATAATGTGGAGACTGTACGATTACAACTATATGAGAAGTGTACAATATACATTCAAACTGGGAGCAAGGACCTACGAGAAGTAGAGTGTCAGAGAGAGTGGAAACTGGAAAAGCAAAGCAAAAATCAATAGCTTCGTGGCCGCTCCCTTATTATTTTAACAATAAGCGACTACCAACTGTAGTTACTATAAAACCAATGTTGCCAATGTTGCATTATCATTTTCAACTGGTGGTAAATAAAACTTAACTAAATTCTCAAATGACATTCTTTCTGTGTTTGTAAATGTCGATTTAAATAAACATTCAAACCCCATAAAAGATATAAATAATAATATAGTTTATATTAACATAGATGAATCAATTTATACATTCAAAAATTGATTCATGATTTAAAAAATGTAAGTTGATGAAATTATCAATAAATGACATGAACACTGTCACTCTGTAATAATCTTTTAGATTTTTAGTTATTTCTGCATCAATAATATTTGCTAAATTTTATTAAAAATATTAAAAGTTAATTAAATATTTATACTTAACATAGCATTACTTCAAAACTCAAATCACATACTTTTATTTTCTCGTGTAAAAGGTGAAATTATTTTTTCTGCATCCTGTTTCATTTATTTTAAAGTATTAATTAATAATTCAATAGTATTAAAAGTATTTTTCAAATCAATCTGCTCTTTCTTTAGCTGTTTACAGACATGCAGTCCAAAGGAAAAAAAATACCTAAAATATTTTTTTATAGATTGTTAAGTATAAAAAGAAGTATTTGAAGCAGCAAATACAATTTTTAATTAAAAATTTACCGTTGAAACACATAAAATTTCTATAGTTCCAAATATAAACGAGTGTCGAGTACATGAATATAAAGAGCATCGGTCAGTACAAAAGAAAAATTAAAAACA